TTACTTTTGTTGTCAACATGTAACATTCGTGTATTAAATACTCTGATTTATGGAATATATTGTCTCTTTCTTGTATCATGAATGCATGATTATGGGTTTATTTTGAGGGCGTCGATCTAGTTACGGGAAAAAAAAATTTCATCGAACAATTTGATATAATAAAAAAATAAAACCTCAATTTTTATTTTTTTTAACTCTTTTTTCTTTTTTTCTCCTATCTTTTTCTCTTTTTCTGAATGTTCCCATTATGTGCCCCATGGTACACGATTCAAAAATTGCTCTTTTGTGTTCGTCTTACCCATGTTTGGGATTTGGAACCTGTGGGATTTTAATTAGTATTGTTCATGCAAGAACTTGTACAATTTTTCCTTTTTGTGGTTTGAACTTTTTTATAAGCCAGCTAATCTAGTTCTTTGGAGATGATTTGGTTTGTAAATGTGTTTCGTAGCATAAATTAGATGTCTCTGCTTTTCCTTTTCTGTAAAAGTTTTTGTAAGATTCTAACTTCTAAGTGTAGATGAAGATGAAGTTTAGAAGTTGGGTGGCATGAATCAAAGCATCTAAAGTCTTGGGATTATCAACTATATGTTTCAAAAGAACAGCTTTGGGGAGACCTCAATCCTATTTACAGTATATAATTATTTTGCTCGAATCAATGTTTTTGTAAAACATAATTTGCTGCACTGGATTTTTAATTTAGTTAACCAGAAGTATTTAACATATTTCACTGTTGCATTACTTCTTGTGAAATTAGTTTGGTTGATTATTGTCTTACAAGTACTTAGCAATGTTTGACTTGGATATATCGGATGTTTTAAATCTTAGGGGGAATTACATTTTTCACCATTGTAGTTTGACTCAAATTTCAATTTGATTCTTACACTTAAAGTCCAGTTTTAATTGGGTACTTTTGTCTAAAAAATGTTAATTTTTTCATGCACTCCTTGGGAGGCTGACACGTATTACAATATTGTAAGTTTTAATGTGCAATTTGAATGGAATGATCAAATTGAAATCGGACATAAAAGGCAGGAATCGAATTATTTAAATTAAAATGGTAAGGACTAAAGTGAAATTTAAGTCCAATTAGAAGTGTAACTTATCCTATCTTAATCAACAGCTCAGTGGTTTTCATAGAGCAATCCTACCCATACAACGAGTACTAACTTGTAGAATTTTCCATAGATGTGAAGAAATTCTAGTTTTCTGAGCCTGCCAATAATTAAATCCCTTCTTTTTTCAGTTGCTGCTTACCTGCCAAGTTGATACCTAATCTTTTTTATAACGATTGATTTCCCATATAACCTAAGTGACGACGTCGTTTCCTTGATTTTATGCATGCAACACTTTGACCTCCTTAACCGTAGAATAAAAATTGCATTGGCTACTCTGGATTCTTTGTATGTGTGTAATGTGTGATTGGCCAAGCAAGGAAAAAATTTTATTGTTCCTATTGAAAATTATTCTTCAAAGTAGTTAATTGATACGAGTCTTTGCATGGGTAAGTAGTTTCTTGTTTGGATAATGCTTTATTTGCTTCACTATTGGAATGAAGTGGAATAACATGATTATTCTATTAAAATATCTATCGTCACCTTTGATTTACTAAAAAAATTAAAAAAAAAATGCACCCTAAATTGAATCTTCATTCACATTATAAAAGAATGATAATTTCATACGAAAGTCTAAGGAATAAGTATTTTAACTCGTTTTGGCGAATCAAACAATTCCTAGTTGTTAGATTAAGTCCAATAAATTGTACTTTTAAGTTTGACTTGTTTATATAATAAACCAATTTCGAATGAGTTTTTAACGAGCCAAACACAAATCGAGCTTGAGTAGTTTGATTTGTTTAATAACCCTAACTATATTGGGACTTATATTTTAAAATAAATTCCCCATTTAAATGACGTTTTATTGCAAAAATGTCATTGTCACGTCATTTTAGTGATGAATTTTGTATGAATAACAATTTGCTTTCTCATATGGTATGGTATGTTTTATTATTTTCTAAATATAATAAATCCTATACATACACACTATTGTTATTGCATAAGTACATATAAAAAGGTGAAATAAAATGAGAGAACTATTATTTATCAACAGCTCCATTTCACCTCTTGTATTTATACTACAAAAGTCATATACATGTGTAAAAAAAATCATATTAAAAAAATAGTAGTACTTACCATGTCACATGAAAGATTAGGGGTGTAAAAAAAATCGATGAAACTGATTTGACCACTCAAGATCAACCAAAATTTAAGTTTTCGATGCATTTTTCATACTGGTATTCTATTTCGATTTTGAAAATTTTTACATTAATATAAACTAAAAGATTAGGAGTGCAAGAAAAGTCAATGAAACCGAACCAATCGCTCAAAATTGATCAAAATTTTAGCTTTATGTCTATTTTTCATATTGTGTGGTCTGTTTTGATTTTGAAAATTTTTACACTAATATAAACAGAATCAACTGAAATATTATATTTAAAAACTTTTATATTTTAAGTGATTAATAATTCAGTTTTTGTAGTAAAAATTAAGGAGGGAGACATTTTCACTATTTTTCTTCATTTATTCCCAATGTGGAATTTTACAAGTTTTTATAAAATATTTTAAAATTTCATGTGAATCCTTCTTCTACACCAGATTGACAAAACCAACAAAATTGAATTGTAATATGCGGTTTATTTCGATTCTTCAACCACCAAAACTGAAAGATTTAGTTTGGTGCTAAACTTTCTCATAATTCTGACCGAACCAAACCACTTACACCCCTATGAAAGATGAAGACTTGAGATAAAATATTGGGCAAATTACACCGGTAGTCTTTGACACTTATGTCATTTTGATCCTTGTAAATTTCAATTGGCTCGATTTTGACCCTGAATTTATAATATATTCCCAATTTGATCCAATTGATTATAATTGTTATTGGTTTTTTTTATGAAAAATGTGCACATAAGAATATGTGTCATGCTTTTAAGAGTAAAATTATAAATTTATCTAACTCAGTAAATTAAGCTCAACCAACTTAGTAATCATTTTTCAACAAAAATCACAATCAGTATTATCAATTGAACCAAATTGACATAATATAAAAAATCAAGGGTCAAAATCAAGCCAATTGAAAGTGTAGGGACTAAAATGACACGGTGGACAAAATTCAAGAACTAACAGTGCAATTTGCTCTAAAATATTTCAATCATACATGACAATTATGATAAAATGATAAAATAAATTTGACGATAAATAACATCACGTGTTCAAAAAAAAATTTCCAAGTTAGATAGGGATGTATGTCAATATGTTTTCAGTGCAAATGCTCTTGCCAACAAACACAGTTGTGATCCCCATTTAGATAGAATTTTCCATAGATGTGAAGAAATTCTAGTTTTCTGAGCCTGCCAATAATTAAATCCCTTCTTTTTTCAGTTGCTGCTTACCTGCCAAGTTGATACCTAATCCTTTTTATAACGATTGATTTCCCATATAACCTAAGTGACGACGTTGTTTCCTTGATTTTATGCATGCAACACTTTGACCTCCTTAACCGTAGAATAACACCAATCACCTCCCACTTGTGATAACCACATTCGGTCACCACTTCTTGTTAGAGACAAGCTTTAACTAGCACTTTAGATGACAGAGTGGCTAATATTTCGAACCGTCAACCACTTTCGACCATGATCTCTCACTGTTGGCAATCACTTTTGGCCACCACTAACCACATCCCACCAATGGCAATTACTTTTGGCCAACACCTTTGGAGGCGAACAACCACATCTGGCCATCATCTTCAACCGTCTACAACTACCTCTTGCAAACCAATTCTTTCACTTTTTTTCAAAATAAGTTTTTTAAAACATGTACGTCAAATTTGTTTTTTGTTTTCATTTTTACCTAAAATAAAAAAAAAATAAAATGTAAACGTTACCAAACCACATCTAAATCATTTCACCTTAATCTAAAAACACAATTTGAAATATCAGTTTCAAAAAAATAAAAATAAATTAGAAAGTGTATAGAATATTTTTACAAGTCCACGGATTTTTTTTCCTCTCTTCTAGCACAATTGAGTATAAACTTGGATTCTAAGAGCAACTCTAATAATTTTTCTATTTGCCTTGCCAAATTCAAAAAAATAACTTGGCTTCACATGGTGTGCCATTTGACTCTTGTGGGCATTTATATATATATATATGACATGTCTGCACTAATTTAATTGTAAGCTTTATATTATATATAATAATATTAAGGGTACACACATAAGGAGTGTATCATGACAATTGTTTAAAATAATTAGATCTCATAATTATGACACTTATATTTGAAGTAGTTAAATATGAGAGGAACAATTATCAAGTTTAGAATTACTTTGGGAAAAAAAAAAAATTGACAATTTACTCTAATTTATTTGTAGGTTTTATATAATAGAATAGATTAATAACCAAAAAGTCCGATTATGATGGGAAGGATTTGTATCCAATTCTCATAAACTAATTGGATTTGTATCCAATCATTTGGACATCTCCAACTATTATTGCTATAATGCCAGTGCTATTGCTATAATTTGGCAAAATTGCCAAATTATAACAATAGTGCTCCAATGGTCAATTGTTATTTTAGCAAATCTCAACCAACTTTTCCTCTAAATTTGTAAGTGTTGTTTGGATATAAGTTTTTTTGTGATTTTATTTTTTATCTTTTGTGACATTTTTTTAACTATTTATAAAAAAAAAAAATTATATTTATATTCTTCCAGACTAGATAAATATAAAAAATAAAAAAAAATTGAAAAATTGGAATTTTTTTATATATTTTATCTTTTTATTGTCTTTATTTAAAAAAAATATATTCATTATTTTATTATGCTTTATTAAAAAAATTAAATTATACTAACAATTACATTAAAAATAAAAAACAAAAATAAATATGAAATTTCATTATAAAATAAAAATATGACATTGCAAATTAAAATAGAGCCGTTGGCTCATGTTACACACTCCCAAACAGTACCTTATCAGTCCATCACTCTCTGTCTCTCTCTTCTCTCTCTATATCATCAAACCGTATCTCACTACCATCAAACCCTATCTCACTTCTCTCTATCTCCGAATTGGGGATCGGTGTTTGGGGTTTCGGAGAGGCGATTAGGGATGAGAGAGGGACCAATTGAGGACCGATTGGAGAAGAGAGAGGAGTCGGTGTCGGAGTCCACGGTTGTGGCGGTGGACAGACTTGCATATTTCAGTTTGTGTGCTTAAGGTTTATAGTACCTAAACATTTCAACCAATATGTTAATCTCGCAAGTACCAGTGAACAGAGGCTGCTGGGTCACCTTCTCGGCAAATATACAACCAACCGACCACACATCAACTGGGGTTGAGTATTTCAAACCAAGCAGGAGTTCTGATCATCAAACCAAGCACGAGTTCGATACACAACTACAGTCCATCAGCCCATCTATATTCCTTATTCCTTATTCCTCATTCCTCATTCTGATCATCACAGGTACCTTTTCTTCACTTTTCTTGTTCCAGAGTGATTTTGAAGATTCACAACTACAGATCGATTTATTGATTGTTGTTGATTTTGTTGAGATTTATAGATTTGTTTGAGAGTGAGTTATTGATTGTTGTTGATTCTGTAAAAAAAATAATAATAATAATAATAATAATAATAAATAAAATATAAAAAATTTGCTGATTTTGGGTAAATTAAAAAAATATATATTGAAAAATAATTTGGTGAATTTTGATTAAAAAAAAAAAATTATGGTGAAACAGTTGCTGGGTGGGATGGAGGGAGGGAGGGAACCAGTTGGTTTTGGCTGAGTTGGCACAAATGGCAGCTGCCCTTTGGCATTTCTCAAATTTGGCAGCTGCCATATTCAACCATTGGAGTATCATCTTTCAACAGAACTGCTATATTATAGCAATGGCAGCTCCAATGGCAAACCATTGGAGATATGAATCATTCAGCTTCTAATTTCTTGCATGTAGACTATTAATTATTCAACTTCTAATTTCTTGTATGTAGACTATAAATTAAAAAAATCAGATATTTGGTAATTATAACTATGTATTTTCATCATTTATTTAGAAAAAAATTATAAATAAACGATAAGTAATTAAATATGATTAAAATTATCAAACAAAATGAATTTTGTCTGTGAATAATTTACATATAAATATCAAAAGAATAAATAAATCAGATTGTCAAAATGGGCCAAAAGAATGAATGATCATATTATCAAAATGGGTCATGTGAAAGGCTCCCCCAAAGGTGAACTTGACGAGTGGAAGCCTTTTTCCGTTGTAATTTGAAGGAAAACCCTACCCCTCTCTTTGGGCGAGAATTTAGCGGAAGGAAACCCTACCCCACCTTTTGTGGGTGTGTGTTTTTTTGTTTTTTCATCTTTTATTGCAAATCCCTGTCTGAGGAAGTTTGGGTATCAAAAGAGAAAAAAGATTGGTCCAGGAAAGATGCAACCAGTCGTTCTCCTTGACTGTATATATCTTCATTTCTCTCTCCGGTTCACATGCAATTCCTCATTATATGTAGTTATAGAATTGCAATTGCACAACAATGAAACATGTAACTAGCAAGTAGCAACAGAATGGTTATGTTCGCCTCGCCTCGCCTCGCCTCTACAACATTAAAAAAAAAAAAAACAACCCAGAGAACTAAGAAGACAACAATGGAGCATTAAAAACCACCATTTCTGTCTTTCATGTCATTGTTTCTTGGTTCTTCCATTTAGACATCAAATGTCAAAAGCTATCACTTTTTTCCTTTGAAGTTATCTGAGCTAATTTAATAATGTGTCATACAAAAGTCTACATTGTGGTTTCGTGGTGCCTATCTTGACATACTTCCCATTTGATTGCATTAGGGCTTCCCACTCCTTTGCTTAGTGCCACGGGCATTTGAAGCCTTCTCAACCCAACAAATATGCCCAACAAAGTAAACATACATAAAGAAAAAAAATTACGCTTATGGTTCTAGCTAAATTTTTTTCCCACTTAACAAAAATCCTAGTTGAAAATTAGTTCCAGTGACTTCCAATAAAGAATGTTCCATATGCTTCTTTGTTATATTATTGGTTTTGTAAATAGTAAATTTCATTGTTAAGAGGTAATTTATTGGTTTCACGGATTAAATTATAGTTTCTCTGACGTGGATAACGTTGATTATTATGCTAATTGTGGTCATTTAGGTTTTCGCCTTCGTGGTGGAGTGAAAAGCCTGCCAAACTTGCCGGCCTAGGTATTAATGAACCTGTTTGCTTTATCAACATTTGATGCATTAGCAAAAAAAGTAATTAAAGCTTGAAGTAATCAGCAAATCTGCCGTTTTAAATACTAACTTATCTAATGGGTGTACAAAGTTAGTAATCAAATTTTAATTAAATTCATTGAATAGGATTATGAGAGAAAGAAGAAAATTTTCACTCACCCACTTGACACAAATACAATCACAAATACTGCCACCGACATTGTAGCCATTTGTTGAGATACTTCATGTAAATGCCATTTGATCTTCTACTTGATTGAACTTAGCAGCTAAGAAATTGTATAGGCAGATAGAATTCGATGTAGTAATTTTGATTATCACTCAGTTGATTAGTCTAAAGCTTTTATAACCTTTGTTTTTGCACTAAACAAAATTTGGTTATTGTTTCGAAACTAATTTTTCGCAATAAGTAAATTTATTGTGATGAAAATTATTTTGTCCTTATAGTTCACAAATTCCATGGTAGGAAGTTTTAAAGCCAGTGGGAGTTAAATATTGCTACGAATTAGTTTCATCACAATAAATTTGTTGCAATAAAAATTAAATTAGGACATATTGTGACAAATTAAATTAGGACATTGTGACAAACTAATTTGTAACAATAGGTAACTGTTTATTGCCACAAAAATATTGTTGTAATACGTTGTTGAGTACTTGAAAGAGGGCATGCGGATCTCCTATGCTTGTGGGCTCGACCCTCTTCTTTGGCTTCTTGCTGGTGGGGGCATCTATGATCACATCTAAGGAGGGTTTCCATGCATTGTTCACCGTTCCTACACTTTTCTCTTAATGAGAAAAAATATATACATATGATTGTTTAAATATGATTGTTACAATAATTAACAAAACAACTTGGATTATTAGTTAGGTCCAATCAATATTAGGGATAAAATTATAATAAAGAATTAATTATTGAAAATTTTGAAAATATTTATCCATCTGAGTATTATTTCAAGTTAAGTTGGACAAAAAAAAAAAAATTTATTCCGTCAAACTCTAATTACTCCAAATCTTATATAACATTAACCAATTTTCAAATAATAGATGGATGATATATACTATTTTATTTTTAAAATTTGGATTATAAAATGCATCTTTTTATTTTGTTATTTTTTAATTAAGGGCAAATATTATTAACAATCATATTTTTTATCAATATTTTATAAACATAAATGTTTGAGAAAATTTAGTCTATAAACGTATTTAAATAATAGAAAAAAAATCCATACATGCATATTTTTTTTGATTTAGTACAATGGGATACAATATAATCTCAGATGATATATAATCTCTAATATTTATCCATCTGAGTATTATTTCAAGTTAAGTTGGACAAAAAAAAAAAAATTTATTCCGTCAAACTCTAATTACTCCAAATCTTATATAACATTAACCAATTTTCAAAAAATAGATGGATGATATATACTATTTTATTTTTAAAATTTGGATTATAAAATGCATCTTTTTATTTTGTTATTTTGTAATTAAGGAATTAAGGGCAAATATTATTAACAATCATATTTTTTATCAATATTTTATAAACATAAATGTTTGAGAAAATTTAGTCTATAAACGTATTTAAATAATAGAAAAAAAATCTATACATGCATATTTTTTTTGATTTAGTACAATGGGATACAATATAATCTCAGATGATATATAATATTACATCTACTATAAAATTTGAATATTGAGACAAAAAAGGTTGTTGAGAAAGTTTGGGGGAAGAATGCCAATGGAAAATTTGAGCCATTGGTTTGAATTTTATTTCTTTTGTTTTCTTATGGTTTTTCATCAACTGGGCTTGGCATCATGTTGCAATTGGTTCTTTGCAATAGTAAGAGGAGAGGGAATAGAATGTATGTAGTCAGATGTTATGTGACTTGCCCTTGCTTTTCTCTTATTTTATGGAGATATTCCTTTTTTAATAGATATTAGATGACTTGCCCTTTGCATTCCTCTTCTTTTATGGGTTGATTTTCAATTTGAAATACATGTATTTGTTGTGTGTGTATGTGTTCCATTGAGGTTTACTTTGGCAAAGAGTTTTACATAAATGAACTGGTTTTGATCTTCTGATTTACATCCCTTTTGAATAATGTTGTTGTTTTCTACCTTAGGTTTGACATCTTTTTGTTCAATAGGATTGGAACCCTTTACTTTTGCTGGGTAGCATCCAAGCTTACCCAATCTAAGGGGCTTGGAAATAGAGGGTTCCAACATTTATGATGAAGATAAGGGTGCTAAGATGAATGGGAACCATATAATGGGCTTTGTTCCTCTATAGATGCTGAAATGACAGCATTCTAAAAGTCACTTGATTGGAGAGGTTGATATACATTGTTGAGCTCATTTCCAGACAACTTAAGCTTTTGAGCTTGATGTATATTATTGAGCTCATTTCCCAACATCTTAAGTTTTTGGGACTAGTAGTGATCTAATAGTTCCCCCCTATACGATCAATACATATGGTATGTACTTGTGTCTATGTGGACCTAAGAAAGAGAGATTTATATTTTACTTTTAACTGTTTTAAATTATAATACTAAATTCCAGACCTTGTGTCCATTTCTTCTAATCGACCTGGAGATAAAGACTATAATCACTTGGACTATCTTAGCTTGAAACATCAGCGCAGAATGTTAAGTTGACCTTCTTAGCCCTGCAATCATGCATCAGGTTTCTTAACTATATATATTGATTCTTTTAGCTTTGATTCTCTAAGTTAAGCTCATGCAGCTGCATTCATCTTCGTTTGTGCACTCAAGTCTGAAAAACTGATGATAACCATAAGGATATTACAATTTAAGACACTAACATTTTCATGGGATTCGTTAGTCTATACTTTGATGGTACAGTTATTGTTTAGTAGAGTAATTTGTTACTTGTTAGTTTAGTTTTATGAGTTCACTTCTGCTACATGTACTGCTTGTGATGTGAGGAACTGATGTGGTTGTTATTTTTGCAATGAAACTGCTAGATCCTTGGCCGGTCTATTGAATCAGAACCTTTTAATTTTTTTGTCATTGTATGCGTTATTGAGAAGATCTAATTGCCTTCATATCCTTACTGTACTTATAATTTACTGGCTTTGTCAATGGCCTGGATTTAGGAGATTAAGTGGTAGCACTAGCAGTATGTTAACTCTTTATTGTGGTTTGTTATTCTAATCTGTTAGAGAGGGTGACCCCATTTTAGAGTTGCTGATTTTGATTTAAGATGGTTGTTGATCCAGATACAATACTCTGTTTCATCCTATACCTCCATTTTGTAGAATATTTTATCCATATTATCGTATAGCTAACTTTTTATCCATATAATTTGTTTTAATTATATGACTCTAGCCTGCTGGAGCATTTGAAATACAATTTTCAGAAGGAAAACAAATCGAGGATTCAAACATGTATACTGGTTACATTGGAAGTACACAAAGTAGTATAAAAGTGGTGTACCACATTGAGTCACAATCAAAAGATTTACAATGATGGTACGAGTTTGTGACGAGTCACTGTAGCCTGTATTTACTAAGAGTAATTGGAAAGTGTCAAAGTAGTTTTGTTGGCAAAGAGTTGCTTTTCACAGAGGTGGTAGAAGGAACTCTACACGATTGGGTGAAAAAAAACCTTCTCGTTGATTCTGAGTATCCTGAAACGCTGAGTAAGCCTTTTATTGGCATCTTGGGGTAAGTGCATGTCTATGTCATCGTCATCTTTGCTATTTATTTAAGTTATTCATTCATTTGTTTTTTGTCTTTTCATTCAATTTTTTTTTTTTTGTCATTTACTCTATAGGGATATACTCAATGGCATCATATATACTTCAGATGTACATTGAGACAACCACATGGAGAAATTTGTGCAAACAATGTCTACTTGGTTAATGGAAATGCCAAGTTGGGCAAAGCTCTAAAGCCGGAGTGGTACGAGAAGACATTTGGGGATGACATTGACAAGTTCTACGGCATGGTCAAGTCTAACTTCAAGTCCAAAGGGTCTAAACTTCCCTTCGATTTGGATCATTTGTGCAGATAATTGCAAAAATACAACAAATTTGATAAGTACAATATTTCTTTAATTATGATTTTTTAAGTATTGTAAAGTGTTTTTATTACTATTGATTCTCACGGTTTTTGTTATACAGGCATTTGATGAATGCAATTAATTATCTGATCATGTTGACAGTAGATGCAAGATGCGAGTATATGCTAGTTGCCTATTCTCTTGTTAAACACCATTCTAGCCTATACTCGCATCTTGCGTCTGGGGTCAACATGATCGGATGATTAATTTCATTCATCAAATGCCTATATAGTGAAAAGCGTGAGAATCAATATTAATAAAAACACTATACAATACTTAAAAAATCATAATTAAAGAAATACTATACTTATCAAATTTGTTGTATTTTTGCAAGTATCTGCACAAATGATCCAAACCAAAGGGAAGTTCAGACCCTTTGGACTCGAAGAGAGACTTGACCATCCCGCAGAACTTGTCAATGTCATCCCCAAATGTCTTCTCGTACCACTCCGGATTTAGAGCTTTGCCCAACTTGGCATTTTCATTAACCAAGTAGACATTGTTTGCACAAATTTCTCCATGTGGTTGTCTCAATGTACATCTGAAGTATATATGATGCCATTGAGTATATCCCTATAGAGTAAATGACAAAAAAAAAATTGAATGAAAAGACAAAAAAACAAATGAATGAATTACTTAAATAAATAGCAAAGATGACATAGACATGCACTTACCCCAAGATGCTAATAAAAGGCTTACTCAGCCTTTCAGGATACTCAGAATCAACGAGAAGGTTTTTCTTCACCCAATCGTGTAGAGTTCCTTCTACCACCTCTATGAAAAGCAACTCTTTGCCAACAAAACTACTTCGACACTTTCCAATTGCTCTCAGTAAATACAGGCTATAGTGACTCGTCACAAACTCGTACCACCATTGTAAATCTTTTGATTGTG